TATGTAATGGTGTGTGTATAAGGTTAGTGCCAGTAATCATGTGTCAGACTACAAAAAACAAAGTTCATGCAAAAACAATACATGCAATCCTGTCAAGAAACCCTGCAACACTAAAGATACTGTAGAACTTCAACATACTTACGTATTGAGCTGAATAGTTGCTGTGTCAGGGTCCTGTAAGCCAAACTAGCAGAAACCCAGGAGAGGCATCTCGATCTGCCATATTTCTTGATCGTGGGTGAGGTCTTAGGCGTGTCACTGTTGGTTTTAGGCGTGGCATTGTTGAAAACACAATGCCGGCTGAGCGAACCGAGAACGTTTTCTATTTTTCTGAATGTTTTAGCCGGGGAGCGTTTCCGGATCGGGTGAAAATTTGACGAAGATGGGCGTGGTTGGTAGGCGTGGTCTTAATTTACGCATCTCAGCCATGTGCTTACTCAGCTAAAATGGCTATCCGCTGTGCTTCTCGCTGCCGGTTGCCAAAATGCTAATCCTGCTTTTGCAGTGCTGTTCTTCATGACAGGAGCTAATCTAAAACTTTTTTGCAGCTACAACAGGGGGTTCGTCCGAACCCCCCGAACCCCCCCTGGCTACGGGCCTGACATTACAACTTGTTGAAACAGGTGTTGGTAGTAGACTAGTATAGTAGTGATATGTAGATATCTGTCTGTATGATGTAAATAAAACTCATTAAAAATGCAAATATCTAAGAGTAAGACTACCAACAATTGATACCGGAGGAGTATACACTCTGACATAGGCGTATCTAGCCTTCTCCAGCTACTAGGGCACTTAATTAATTATTCATATAATCAATTAATTATTCATAATTAATTAATTATTTGTACTTTAACTATTGATTGTGGGCAATTTGGGCAAATGCATTTTAAAATTTAAGACCTATAACTGCCCTGGTGCTTAAATAAACACTTGGAACATGTAGGTGTGTGTTAAATTATTGTGGCTAACAGTGATAGCTATTGTGGTTAACAGTCCTCCCACTGTTGCAATACTGTGTATAATACAATAACCAATGAACATAATTATGGCTGCAAATTTCTACCCGGGCAAAGCCCGTGCTTGCCCGGGTCCAAATACGCCTATGCACTCTGAACATAATTATACATGAAGCCATAATAATTCTAAGATGATGTATATAGTACTTTATAGACCACCCTAGGCGTGAACATAGATTATATCATAGATACTATATACCCCTGGATACGAAACTCCTCTATGCACACATATAAAATCCCATAAGGAAACGTCATAAACGTCACATCCGGCTGTCCTCACCCTTGTTTCGCTGCATTCATGGCTGCCAGGGTAAGTAAAACAATCACAGCAGCCTATTCGTTTGTTAAAGTAGCTGAATGATCCCTCAGAGGACTTTGCAAAGCCTTTATATATTGAAATAATGCTCATAAACGATAGTTTGAGTGCATATTTTAGTTCTACAATGGATGTCATAGCCTACTTGTTGTGTACATTTCACTCAAGCCACTTTTTTTAGCTTAACTCTG